CAGAACGAGGACTTCAGGCTCTATTCTAGCAAACACATCTCTGTCTCAGTCCCACCCTCCTGTCTGTTTCATCCTGCATCCGTGTATTTTTTTTCTTCTTATCATTTTATAATTTGTTACTGTCAGACAGAAATGTTTCATCTCTTTAAAAATTTCAAGTCTTTGTGGAAAATAAGTAAACTGTGTGGTCAGAGTTTGTGTTTCATCTGTGGTCAGATAATTGAACAGATAACTGAAGGTCATAATGTTTTATAGATGTATTGATTCTTGTGTAAAGAGAGGCTGTTTTTATGCTCACTGGTTCTCTAGTTGAGAAGGCAAAAGGCTCTTTTACCACATCCTGCTCATATAAACGGAGCTACAAGGTTAAGTCACACACTTCTCTTGATTGTTCTCATTAAATAGTCATCAATAGGACTACAAACAGATGTTTAGAGGAACCAGTAGTTGATTTAAACAGAAAATCAAGAAAACAGAAAAGGTAACAACGACATCGTGATACTAGAGCCAACAAAGATGTAAAGTTGAGTCACTGCTGATGATATCACCCTAATATTACTTGGTGCAACTTGTGGGTGGGACTAGTTATTTTCTGATCTAGTTATACCTCCATTTACTACATGTGCTGTTGATGTGTTAAAGTGTAGGATTGGAAAAGATAATGATTGTAGAATGTATGTTGATTCTGATGGTTTATTAAGCTATGTTTATGTGGACCAGGTGGTGCTGAGCTCCTAGAATTATGTAGGTGCACATTTAAAACTCCCTGATGCCACTAATGCTGGCAAGTTAGCTTAGAGCGGGGGTCGGCAACCCGCGGCTCTAGAGCCGCATGGGGCTCTTTAGCGCTCTCTAGTGGCTCCCTTGAGCTTTTTCAAAAATGTTTGAAAATTGAAAAAGATGGCGGAAAGAAATAATTTTTTTGTTTTAATATAGTTTCTGTAGGAGGACAAACATGACACAAACATTCTTAACGTTTTTCAGTGCTGTAAAAATGTGTAGAAAAATATTAAATTTCAACATTTCTGTCAACGAAGATTTGCGTCATAGCCTGCGACACATGTTTCTATCAGCCGGGCGGGATGCCAGGCAGGTGGCTGTTGTAAACAAATTGGCGGCTGTGTGATGGGCCATGGATCCCAAAGGGAAAAAGAGAAAAATAACTGAGGAGAACAGACGTTTCTTGGACCGAATCATTTGCATTCATTGCCAATGCGGAAGGATTGCCTGAATGTTTGCTCGGTAACGAGAAGTTGTCAAATAACAAAAAGAGTAATGTGGAAAGACATTTCCAGGGAAGGCATGCTACATTTGCAGCCGAATAAGGGCGATTGCATTACTTCTGGAGAAATTACAGGAGCGCAAAAATAGATTTAAGAAGTGGATTGCATCTCCAAACTCCACTACTGCTGCAAGTTTTGTTGCAACCGGGGAGATAATAAAGCGTGGAAAACCGTTCACAGATGGTGACTACATGAAGGAGTCGTTTTTATAAATGCAGGCTGCGTTTTATTGCACTGTTTGTTGCCCCGATGAGGGGCACGTTATGCACATTCAATTTTGTTGTTTTTTCAAATCCTAAAAAGAAAAATGACATCAAAAATCGGATTTCTTTATTGCATTTCTTTAATTTCATCAAAGCAATGAAACATGATTCATTAATATTGTAGTGAAGTTAAACTTGAGGTGGCATCGTACAACAGAGTAGTCACGTGGTGCGTCATTCTCTACAGGATGCGCTACAGGGAAAATAAACATTTAATCATGAAGGCTCATTATGTATTTGTAGCCAACTTAGTCATTTTGATAGTAGGCTAATATAGATACATACAGCCTGTGTTACCTTCATTATAAGGCTTATATAAGGCTTTTAATTTTTTGCGGCTCCAGACATATTTGTTTTGTTGTTTTTTTTGGTCCAATATGGCTCTTTCAACATTTTGTGTTGCCGACCCCTGGCTTAGAGGGATGTCAAGGTCATTTTAAAGTGTGTTTCTGTGTAAATGGTCTATATTATATGCAAGGGAAACCAAGAATTGGAGTCTGGGCTCTCTGGAAAAGATATAATGCCTAGTGCCTACTGTATAAGCCTAAGGTGGCAGTCTAATATCTGGGGTTGCTGCAGGTGGTCAGGTCTAGGTTCAGCAACAGGATGTGCTCCTAGAATGAGGTCAGCTGACCACCTGAATGTCCTGAATGACCAGGTTACTCCATCTTCCCTGATGGCACGGGTGTATTCCAAGATGACAATGGCAGGATTCATCGGGCTCAAATAGAGAGAGTGGTTCAAGGAGCATGAGACATCATTTTCATACAAGGATTGGCCACCACAGAGATCAGACATTAAACCCATAGAGAATCTTTGGGATGTGCTGGAGATGGTTTGTGCAGTGGTCAGACGCTACCGTCATCAATGCAACACTGGGTTGAATAAATTGTGACGTTGTAAAAGCTTATTGGAACCCAGCCAGTGTGTGACATCATCAAAGCCAAAGGCGGTCTACAATATGTGTGTGTGTGTGTGTCACTGTTTTGCTGGTGACTAATATTTGGCCAGCTGGTGCAAATGATATCACCAAATCTATATTTGTGTTAAAAACTTCCTCTATATAAGTGCACATTGGCACACACAAACACACACACACACACACACACACACCGACAGCAGTGTGTGTATGAGTGTGTGTTTTAATAGACTGTCCATAGCCTCCAAGCAGACATAACCGTTGTCTATGAGTTATTACACATCTGTCTGTGTATTTTAAGCTGCACCAGGTGCTGCAGTTAATGGCACACCTAACCTCGTACCACCAGACGTTCCACTGGAAGCCAAGTGGAATTTTTCACATCTACCCTGCCTTCTTCGTCTCCTCTGCATCTCTGCTGTCCAGTGCTAAGAGAAGGCTGTAGGGGACGGCCCAGACAGGATATTAACGGGGGCCCTCCGACAGTCAGAAGGCCTGGCAGTGTTTCATTGTCACCTTGCCTTAGAGGATGAGCAAAAACCTGCAAAGCTTATTAGCCGAATGGAGCTGTTTCTCTCTCTAACTTTCTCAGTCTCTGCCTCGCTGCTTCATTACACCATCTTACATCACACACACACACACACACATAGGGCGACATCTCCCATCTAATCAAGTAGTGGATTATCTTGTCCTGATAAATTGGAGCTTGTAGCACTTGAAAGGTCCTCTTGGAGGAGTGTCGTCTCCTCTAACAGCTAGTTCGAGCCCCCAGGGAGCAAGAGGAGAGAACATTGCCTTGTAATGATTTGTGGTGAATTGGACAAATGTTTTCAGAGAGACCTCTTTCCAGCAACGTGCTTGATGAATCGGAGCGTGTGAAGAGACTTTCCAAAACCACAAGTCAAATTGAGACTTGTCTGATAAACAACAACATCGTCTTTTCCTCAGACTGAGTTGAAGAAGACGATTCGACCTTTCAAAAGGCTTACAAGTCAGAGTTAAAGAGTGAATATTTAGACAAAAAAGTAGTTGTAAGAGGCGGCCAAAGGCTTTAGAATGGCTCTGATGATGTAAAGTGATCAATAAAGCTATTTATGTGTTATTTTGTAGAAAAAATACTTTTTAAATCAAGTTTTTCTATGAATGAGTTTTGTTCAGACAAAGAGCACTTTTATAATTCTAACACTTATTAACAAAAGCATTTTAAAAACTCGTACAATTCTGAAGGTACAATGTGACATTGGTTAGGAGATTTTTGATGTGACAGGGATAATAAGCCAAAAGCATAGAAATAACATGATGAGGCTGCTCAATTATGGAACAAAGTCACAAGCATGTATATTTAACACAGTTACATGTGGGGATGGGGGACACTGTTCAGAGTTCACATTTTAATACGACCGTAGGCACCCATTCACATCAGCAGGTAGCACAGATGTGCATTTTTGTTTTAATTTATGTACTTATGAGTATAAATTATGTGGCTATGTTTCTGTAATCTAACTAAAATCAATAAAAAATTACTTTAAAATGCCTATTTAGTGTCACAACATATATCAGAGTATGTATCATTCACACATTTATATTTGCATATAGACATTGATCAATGTTTCCTTGTTTGATGAAATATGGTCTGTGATGCTCAAAAAGAAGAGAAGAGCTGGTGTGAAAGCCAAGATGTCCAAATGAGGATGACGCCATTGGAAATAAATTGTGACCATTTAAAAATGTTGATGATCACAAATATAATTTTTATGAAAGGATATTCCTGTACACCACACCACTGAGTGAGCTGGGGATCAGGAATAAAAATAACCAAGGCCATTTTTTAAACACCCGTTTTGATTTGTTTCTAAGGCAGCATTTGTTGGTAAAGCAGTTTTAATGTTAGTTGGAAGCCAAATTTAAAATAAGACATGGTTAATCACACCCCATACAACCCTAACCCCTTACACCACGACTTAAATTCTCCTTCAGGAGTATTTCTCTTATCCGATGGCACCATCTAGTGGCTGACAAGCATATCACAAATCATTTCTCCTTCCGTTTTTTAAGATGGTGACTTCATGTTTTTTGTTTTTGTTTATTTGTGTGCTTCTGTAGCTGACAAAAAGAGCTAAAACACATTGTATTATTCTCATGTCATGTTGTGTTCTCATATATTTATAGTTTAGAGACGCACTTGTCCGTGAAAAGTTCATCAACTCTGCATCAGCTGAGGTATTCCTTAAATTTTAAGCGCATAAGCTGTAGTCTAACGCTATTGGTTAGTTCTGGCTGGCGCTCTATTGCACTCTGCAGGGCAGGGGGCGTGCTTAGCAAAAACACAAGAAAACACGTATTGCTTACATTATATCACAGTATATGATAAGTCAGTCACCTTTATGGATTTTTGAAAAAGCATACATCATTTCTGAAAGGGAAAAACTTCAGAAAGCTACTTTAACTGAGGTCTTGGTTGTGATCATTGTTAATTTCCCTGATTTATCTCTTATCATTTTCTTTCTCCTCTTTTCTTTTTGTCCCTCTCTACAGGAGAATCCCTACATGTGTAATAATGAATGTGATGCCAGCACAGAGGAGCTTGCTCACCCTCCAGAGCTTATGTTCGATATCGAAGGCCGCAACCCCACGACCTTCTGGCAGTCGACATCCTGGAAGAAGTATCCAAAGGCCCTTTTGGTAAACATAACACTATCCTGGAACAAGACCATCGAGCTGACCGACGACATCGTTCTCACTTTTGAGTCTGGTCGACCAGAGCAGATGGTTTTAGAGAAATCTCTTGATTATGGACGAAGCTGGCAGCCATACCAGTTCTATGCCACTGACTGCTTGGACGCCTTCACCATGGAACCCAAAACAGTGCAGGACCTGACCCAGCACACCCTGCTGGACATCATCTGCACGGAGGACTATTCTCGCGGGTACGTGTGGAAGTACGATAAAACCGTACGTTTTGAGATCAAGGACCGATTTGCGCTGTTTGCTGGGCCACGACTCCACAATATGGCCTCCTTATATGGACAGCTGGACACAACTAAGAACCTGAGGGACTTTTTCACCATCACTGATCTGAGAGTCCGTCTGCTCCGGCCTGCCACAGGGGCTACGATGGTGGACGAGAACAATCTGTCCAGATACTTCTACGCCATTTCCGACATAAAAGTTCAGGGGAGGTAAGAAAAATATTCTTCCTTCTCTGTTTTATACATGATGGACATCAGGGCAGATGACCCATTACTGCTCTCTCTCTGAGCTCCAGATAAACACATCGAATGCTTTTAGGGTTGATAAGGAAAAGATTGTTCATTAGTGGGGAGTTTTTTTTTTTTTTTTTTGGTCAACTATTGAGCGGCTGCCTGGTTTTGGGGGAAAAAAATGTGTTTACCGTTAACCATTCTTTCCACTTAGGCAGTGAATCTATATTGCTGTGTAGAGTTCACAAGACATCAGCACTTCTTAATTAAGCAAACTGCTTACGGTTTGCTGAAGCACTCTGCTTTGGACAACAAATTCACTCAGCTGTCTGCTGGCCTGTGGAAGACGTCAGATGTAGCGTTTCAACCATCAGGTCGCTGCATGCTGTAATTAGTGTTTGATTTACAGATTCCACAGAGGGTCATGTAACATGAAAACAAGATGCCATTATGGTGTTAGCAGGAAAGGCCGACAAAGCTCCCCCTGCTTTTTGATGCTACAGCAAGAGTCACTGGGGCATAGGCTTAAGTGGATCTGTTTTACACAGTGTGGGTTTTCAATTTAACTGATGTGGTTGTGGGGTTGAAGGAATGAAGATTTAATTACTCTTGTTTTACTCTTCACACATGAGAGAGTTGTTGTACACAAGCGCAGAGTAGCGGAACGTCACAACAATCCAAGGAAGTGGGTAGAAGTGTTGACGCCGGGGCTCCCAGACCGTGTGTTATGTGTCTGTGTGCCTCAGCTTGCAAATAAACTCACAGGGTTGACTACAAATAGAACTGTCTTGTTCTGCAGACAGGATTTGCTCTGAGAGATGTAGCTGCATGGAAAACTAACAGACTGAGAAGCCATGGGGCAACTTCACCCCAATTCTTAAAGTCGGGGTGCACACTTAGTGGGGGGTGCACACCTTATACACACTCATTTCTTTCTGAACTAGTTTTGATTCAAGGACTCTTCACCCATTTATCATACCAATTTATTTTGAATTTACAACTGCTTAGCCCCAACCTACACTCTATCAGCTGACACCTTTGCCTCATTCTTCACTGACAAAGTGGCAGCTATAAGCAAACAGTTTACTCAACTGGCTACTCCTGAACATTCGCTACCACAGACTCCTTCTAGCCCAACCATCTCAAGCCCTACTGCTTCATTTTCCTCTTTTTCCCCTCTCACTGAGAACTGTGTGTCCAAGCTTCTCACGTGCAGCCGCCCTACTACATGCCCACTCGATCGCATTCAGACTAAGCTGCTCCAAGCTATTGCTCCTACATTAGCACCCAGCTCTATCTGTCATTTCCACCGGTCGACAACACTGTCTCTGCATGAATATCAAACTGTCTCTCTGGCATATCAAACTGGATGAAATCCCACCATCTCCAACTCAACCTCTCTAAAACTGAACTACTTGTCATCCCAGCAAAACCATCCATACAGCACAATGTCTCAATCCAAAATGACGTCCTGTCTCTGGCTCCTTCAAAGGCAGTTTGAAATTTGGGTGTTGTGATTGATGACCACCTGACCTTTAAAGATCATGTTACCTCTGTTGCTCGTTCATGCTGCTTTGCGCTGTATAACATACGAAAGATCAGACCATACCTAACACAACATGCCACCCAGCTCCTGGTGCAGTCTACTGTCATCTCTCGCCTCAATTACTGCAATACCCTTCTAACTGGTCTTCCAGGCTGTACTGAGACATCTTCAAATGGTCCAGAATGCAGCGGCGTGTCTGGTCTTCAATCAGCCAAAAAGAGCACACGTCACCCCTCTGTTTATTGAGCTGCACTGGCTACCGCTAGCAGCATGCATAAAATTCAAATTGCTAACACTAGCATACAAAGTCCGAGATGGTACATCTCCCATCTACCTGAATCCTCTTGCAAAGGCTTGCGCCTCGGCCCGACCGCTTCGGTCATCACAGGATCGTCGGCTAGCAGTGCCTACACCATGCTCAGGACAATCCAGACTCTTCTCATGCATCGTTCCACAAATGTGGAATGACCTACCAAGCACTACCAGAACAGGGGCTTCCTTTTCAATTTTCAAGAAACTCCTGAAGACCGTGCTCTTCAGAGAGCATCTTCTAAACTAGCACCCTCCCTGCACCCGTCCCCCCCCCCTCTCTACTGTCAACTCCTTGTTCCCTCCTCTCCATGATTGATATCAAGTTGTGGTTGTTATTGTTGTTGTTAGCCTCAAGGGCAACATGCCGATTATCACTTGTAAGTCGCTTTGGACAAAAGTGTCTGCTAAATACATAAACATAAACCCACACACCCTCTTCTGAGTTTGAGCTAGCTAAGCAGCGCTTAGTTGTGAAGATGAGATTTGAAAAAATAATAAGTTACGGGTGAATGAAGTACAAGCATTCTATGTTAGGTTCACTGAGAAATATAGAATTATTTTTTTCTTTTCCAAATATGATCGAGGTTCACCCCAAGCAGAATGCAAAAATAGTTCTCCACACCTCTTTTCTGGATTTGCCGGTGCAAGAAAAATGACAGATGTGTGTCACACTATAAATTTGCATTCATGGATTCAACTATCTTGGCTCATGACCGGGAAAAGATACAGCAGCACACGTCTCAGTTGGTAAAAGCTTAACAATTGAGTTGCTAGATTCTAGCAGACAGTTACTGGAACGCGTCCTTTCAAAATAAGACAGGCCTAAATTAAGCTCTGGCGCTAATGACAGTTATCCCTGTTTGAATGCGGTGTGAACCTGTGTTTTCCGGCTTCACAAATGACCACATAGGCAACAGTACGTACAAAGCTAACAGCCTAGATGAAGCCATCCAAGATCTGCGCCATCTGTACTGCAAGGCAGCGGGAGCCCCGGGAAGGCGCTAATGCCACAGCTCTACTGGACCAGCAAGATGAAACATCACCATGGCAACGTACCATGGAAACGTTTCTGGCTTCAGAGATGACCACTTTTCTTTTAATTATATAGATTAATGAGTAAGACTCCGGATCCTGTTGTTGTCCTGAAACAGGAGCGCCAGAGCTTTTTGTCCCAGAGAATGACTCACAGGTTTTTTTTATTGAGACATCAAATATTTTTAAATAAAAAAAATTATTTGATCCCGGCTCCCGCCAGAGAATGCTGCTGTTGTGTTCTTGAGCAAGACACTTAACACGCCTTGCCAGTTGGTGGTGGTCAGGGGGACCAGTGGGAACAGTGTTCCGCAGTCTTGCTTCTGTCACTGCGCCCCAGAGCAATTGTGGCTACACTGTAGCTCATCATCACCAGAGTGTGAATGTGTGTGTGAATGGGTGGATAATTGTGTTGTGACGTGCCTTGAGGAATTGGGTAACCCTAAGAAGGTGCTATACAGAAAATATCCATTTACCATTTATGCCCTCTTTAACCCTCATATTACCTTTTAATTTTCTAATGTTTCTGGTGTTTGAGTACAGAAAGATGCACATACAAAACTTCCTATAGAAATATTATATAATATTTCATATGTCCCAAATTTTTACATGAATTTCATCCTCATCTTCAGCCCTAACAAAAGATAATAAAAAATGTGTGTGTTTCTTAAATTTAACCCCTTTATTGCCAGGTTTATTATCAGTGGTTTATTATCAGTACTAGAATTGTGAAAATATGAAATGGAAATTTAAATATCTATTAATTTTTGGTGTTTATGTTCAGATGACTATTTTGGGGATTAAACTCTCACAGCCTTGGAGTGTCATAAATAGGCATAAAAATAGTTTTTCCTCACCGTATAGTTTTGGTGTAATTTCATGTTTTCTAAAAAAGTCACAATTTTAAGTTTGGTGCGCAAAAAAAATGCAGACGCAATACTTCCTCATATAATGTTTCATAACTCCCTTTTTTTAGATGAATTTTGTCCTTGGCTTCAGTCCTCACAAAATATTATAAAATATGTGTGTGTTCTTGAGATTTAACCCATTTATTGTCAGGTGCATGAGCATAACCAGAAATGTCAGCAAAAGAAAACATATAAACATTTTTTGTGTGTTATGTCAAGATGATTTGTTTTATGGGCACATTTGCAAAACACTGAAGTATCATAAATGGTCTTAAAAATATTTTCATTAATTTTTTTAATTTGAATGCAGCGTTAGTTATTTCCACGGTATACATACGAAAAATGCGCAGTCTAGTGGAAAACATAAAAAACTCAAAACTGAGTCTTCAACTGCCCTTGGAACCCAGACAGAATTATATATATAAGGCGCAAAAAAATCCACTAAGGGCGGTAACGCTACAAAATTATTTCAGTGTTACATTAAATGGAGTAGGGAAATATTTTTAATTAGTTTTGATATTTCCCCCAAAAATGATACTTTGCAGTAGCATAGCCAAAATTCACCACAAAAATACACCTGTCTGCACAAAAAAATGCACTTAGGACATATACAGGTCCTGCAAAATATTTGTATGCACCAGCAAATCTACATTTTCCCAGGACTGCTGGTCCTGGGATTAATGTTTTTAAATTCCCATCTAATGCAAATGCATCGTGACATACAGGTTTACAAAATAATGTTTGAAATTTTGGTACTGAAGCTGTTTTATCAAATTCATCAGTCTGTTGGATGTAAGCTCAGCCTCTTCAGACTGAGGTTCTTCAGTGAGTTGGTGAATATTCATAAACTTTACACAGAAACACACTTAAAAATGGCCAGATGATCCCTGTGATGTCATTAAATAAAATTCCCAAATACCTCACCTCCTTTTAGTGCACAGTAAATGCGCAGGTACCCTTGAGCACAAGTATGGTAATGAATGCATAGCTCAGGAATCGAAATTTTGACTTTTCCTGTGATTGAGAAGGTCGTTCAGCAGAAAATAACTGGAGGGCATTTACAAATACAAAAGAGCTTGATGGGGCATCCATTCGAAGTGTGCTGAAATGAAGAGGGCTGTCATAGGCACGGATTATTTATTCTATCTGACTAATCATGACCAAACCCATGCATCCCTATG